AGTTCATGACTTACATCCATAAATGGCAATAAAAAAAATGCATGATCCCAACATGTCTACTTCAACTTGCTGCAGCGGCTATGCTTGAACAGCACAAAAGCTAGATATTTTTGTAAAGGCAATGTGTTGCTCATGCTGCATGATCCCTTAATCAGCCCGCCTTGTTTACTAAAAAAGAAAAGGTAACACTAGTACGTTTGAAACAAAACATGCTGCATAAGCTGCTGGATCAGAACAACAATTGTCTGTATGTCCTAAAAAACCAAACACCAACCATGGCTATGGGTCAAGTCTGTGCGGTCATAACTGTTTATAGATTGAATTTTCTCGTTCTAGCATGAGTAAGTTAATATCCTCCCTATAAAAACTTCTCTGAACGAAGTCGTCTGCACAATACAGACTGGTAGGATTGGTTACGACGCCCAATATTCTTTGATAACAGAGACAATTCTAGCAACTAAACTGTCAAGGACACTCAGATAAGTCGAACACTAAAACAAATAATCTCACAGGAACAGTACATTTTCTCTATTCACACACAAAAATAATGTTCCTTATTTTAATTCACCCAATATTAAAGATCTACCCTCTTTGTTTGGGTGAAGTTTCACTAGACACCAGGCTCTTTACACTTGAGCAGGTAAGCCTTTTATGAACTACGCTTCAGTCTCATGGGGTGAAGAAACGAAAACGAACTTGTGAAACCTATTAGGGTTTAAATATATGGACTTACAAATAACACATGGAGCAAAAAGAATAAACCCCGTGGACAATATTAATTTGAAGAACTCTACAACGAGGGCACAGCAGAAGTCCACCGATCGTCAGCAGGTGTCCCTTTTCAAAATGTTTCGGCCCGTTTACCTCCTTTGATAATCTCGGGCGGGAGAGGGGAGGGGGGAGCAATGCGGGTCATGACCCCCAAACCTTTGACATCTCATGCTGCGCTCATCTTAGAAGACGTTATTGTTATTGCAACAAGGACTGAGGTTATGGTAACCGTGGCTGTGGACCAGAGTGACAAACGGACGGTTGGGTCATCGGACAGACTTTATCAGACAGACTTTAGCAGCTGGCAGTAGCACGGGCAGACGTTAATCAGATAACATTTGGCTTAAGGAATTTAAAAGTTCTTTTCTGCTATGGGCTCTGACCATTTTTTTTTTTTTTTAAGGCTCATCCCCCCAGGTTGTCCTTTTGTGTCCACAGCCAGTTTGAATCTCTATAACCAGCTTCACCCTTTTGCCCCACTGCCCAGTTGATTGTATGTGGAGTTGGTGAGGAACCCTCTTTCGCCCATCTCGACGATGAAGAAAGGACTAAACCTTTCCTTTTTTTTTTAATTCTAGAGGCCTTTAAAACCTTCGTAGAGCCATAGATTTTAAGTGGAACAATATTTGAGACCAAATTAAAATCACTTTGCAAGAGAAATGTTCATGCGACATACAAATATAAATATTGGCATAACAATTTCTCAAGCTTTCATACTAGAATTATGAATTAACTGTCAATTATATTATCAGTACGATGTCAGAGGTCCCATTAATATTCTCCAAAAGAGAAAAGACGATAAAGAACAAAGAGGTTTTGCACTTTATATACTCAGGAATCAGTATCCCTCCAATATTTGGACACGTGTGTTTATATACGGTTTTGGTAAAGAAGCCAAGAGTAGACGCCAATACTCCAGTTTAGCCACACACACACACACACACACACATACACACACAAAGTAAGAGTAAGTAAATTTTCTAGGATTGGATTGGATTTTTTACCCCACCAGGACATCACACAAGCGATAAACACCCGATGACACAAAGTGCCACCATGCGGATGAGGATCACCGTGGAGAGGTCCCAGAAACCGCGTTCAGACATTTGGCCATAATGATGACCTGCCTATATTGCGGCCCCTGGCAAAAGCCAGAGTGGGGCTTCAAATAACAAAAAATAACGTCCTAAGAAGGACGAAAAGCAATAATAGTAAATTTTCTAGGATTGGATTGGATTTTTTACCCCACCAGGACATCACACAAGCGATAAACACCCGATGACACAAAGTGCCACCATGCGGATGAGGATCACCGTGGAGAGGTCCCAGAAACCGCGTTCAGATATTTGGCCATAATGATGACCTGCCTATATTGCGGCCCCTGGCAAAAGCCAGAGTGGGGCTTCCAATAACAAAAAATAACGTCCTAAGAAGGACGTAAGGAATTATGCATGTAAATTTTCTACTCAACAGGCAATTACTCAGTGACATTAGACACACAGGAAATTAAGACGTGAATGCCTGCTACGTTTCGTGTACAAGGTCTGACAATTAAGTAATGAGACTAATTCCATAAAAATTAAAAGAATCAACATTGAAGATATAACCTCTGTTTTTTTTAAGTAAGCCTCTTGTGCATTAATACAGCAAGTAGCATGATCTAACAAACACTGGAACGACTTCTGTAGTTCTTCTAGGTTATGGCCCTTAAAGTCGATGTTATGGCCCTTTGGATGCCCTCAATATCGTCAAAGAAGCGTCCGATGGCAACTTTAATTTTGGGAATAGAAAATAGTTACATGGCGACAAATCTGGGGAATAGGGTAGATGGTTGAGAACATGCATCTGTTTTTAAGTCAAAAATTCATATACAGCTCCCGCCCTTTGAGCCGGTGCATTGTCATGAAAAGAAACAAAGTGTGAATACAAACGGGCAAGCAACTTTTTTCTTGCCCAAATCTTCCACTAAAATTTTACCAATAGTCTCTGTATTAACACCAAATTCATCTGCCATCATCCTCACAGTCGAACAACTAGTTTCTTGTATCCGTTCTAGGAATTTCGCAACGAGTTCCTCATTAGAACAGAAATTGGGCGTCCAGGTCTAGTTGCATTAGTAATCATTTCCACACCACTTTTGAATCGTGAATACCAGCTGTGCACGAGATAAACAATTGTCACCATAAACTTGTCGCATCAATTTAACTGTTGCAATGGCGCTGTTTCTGAATTTTAGACGTAATTTAATGTAAGCTTTTTTGCTCCATGCTGATTACATAACAATGGCCCTCTGACTAGGTTAACAATATGGCGGCTTGCTTGTTGTCTTCCGTTTTCTCTCTCCCGCACCTCCATTTTCCACCATTCTCAAAAGCCTAAATACGCATTTCGTTTCGTAATACAGCCGATTATGTATAAATCTCCATCACTGTTTTGTATTTTTTTTTTCATGTTGCAATTTGTTGTTTAGAAGCTCCAGTCACAGCTGCATATTGGGCCCCGCTGATAAAGACTTTGGTGGAAACGTTCGGTTGTATTTGTGTCCGTCTTGTCCATTTCCTCCGTTGAGGTTTCTAGTCACATATTATGTTACTCAGCAATTCTCAACAGTCGTATTTCGTGTTTTTTAAGTGTTTCTATTACCATCTTTGCTATGTCATATCATAATTTTTGGCGTGTGTCAACAAACTGAAACAATAATGGTTTAATAATTGTTTTTCCTCAGTGTACATACCTTCCTCCCCCACCCCTCTCTTCCCTAACCCCCCCCCCCCCTACCCGTTGAATACACCAAACAAGGCTGCAAGGCGGTTTGGCTATATATAAAAAATATAGAATCTGAAACATATAACAAACATATATGTTTTCTCAATGTACCGGATGCATCCCCGTGTCCTCAGGCTCGCAAACACTCACCACAAGGGGTCTTTCACATTAGCGACATAAACAATGCCTGATAAGGTGCCAGTCTGCTGACTGTTGCTTACCCCCATAAAAAAAGCCCCACATGTCCATGTAGAAACCAGTACACTGCGGTAACTGACGTAAGATAAAATCGATGCCAACAAATTAGGAATACATAATCTACTTCAGTGAACATACATAAACACATGCAGGTAGCAAATCGAGTGTGTACCGAATGAAGCTCCATATTTGTTGACATAATCGCCTTAAAGATTGTTTGTCTGTGTGCACTGGAGATTTGCACTGTAGACTGCTGACTGTGTGCGCTGGAGATTTGCACTGTAGATTGCTGTCTGTGTGCACTGGAGATTTGCACTGCAAGAGTATCAAGCTGGCCGGTCATCAAAGACAGCTGAGCAGTGCCAGGTAATGATTCACTGGTGCATGAACGGAGACATGTACTTACACAGACACTGTCAAAGCTGCAGTATTCTACCGTCGAAGTCATTGCCACTATCATGTGCCTCAAAGTCTGCAGTTAAAAAAAATGTAAAAGAAAAATTAACTATGGCTTATACTGCTGCTGCTTCTATTCCGCCTCTTTTCGTTTTTTTAATCACATTTTCTGACATATATAGTTGCTTCACTTGTGTTATTATTGCCCTAGTATGCACATGATGAGATACAGCGAAATATTCTAGGTCAAAAGTGTGCAGGCTAATGTGTATGTTTTCTAGTAATGTTATTACGGAGTTTTTCAGATTGTGCAACATTGCACGATCTCTTGCAGGGTTCGTTATAATAATCATCATCAAGCACCTTAACTGACTGATGTACATGTACTAGTGTGTGTGTGTGTGTGTGTGTGTGTGTGTGCGACGTGAGATTAATGTCTGTAGCCGAAATGACCACTAAATATCTCACAATTAGCCTTTATGTTTGATAGTTCTGCATAAATGATATTTGCTAATGCCAGAATCCTTAGGGCTCTAATGGTTGAGACTTGGCTTCTGATGCTTGGAAACTGCAGATTCTGTTCGCTTTAACCGGAAGTTGTTAACTTTCGACGTTTTTATGTTTTAAATTTTTTACTCTGCAATTTTTGCTTTTTTTTTTTTTTTTTGCTTTTAACTTCAGTCATCCAAGGAAACGAGTGTATTGAAGCGATAAATCAGACAATTTTCAACATCAGTTTAGTCACATGACAGTTGTAATGCCATACACGAGTTGGCGAAACAAACAGTGAACAGCAAGAAATATAGCTACCTACTAGTTGTGTGGAAACATGTGCACTATGTTTAAACAACATTATTCTACTTCTGCAGCATCACAGCTACTGCGGCTTCAGTAGGCGCTGCTGGAGTACCTCAAGCCGGATTGGTTACCATGGTGATAGTTTTGGCTGCTGTGGGCCTTCCTATTGATGACGTCACGTTGATTTTGGTTGTTGACTGGTTCTTGTAAGTATCACCTGAAATAGCTTTTTGATGTGTAAATAATTTAGGCTTATATTTTGAACATCTGTGTTGTTATGTATGTTACATGTGCTTCTATCTTACATGGTTAATAACCTACTTCCTAACACTCCTCATGCTTGTAGACTAGAACTGTAGTGACATGTTAACACTTCAAAAAGGATGTAAATGTTGTGTCTTGCATATTATAAAAGCAGAATATTGTACAGAAATCGATTCATTTTTCTTGTGCAATTTCATCTATTAATTCAAAATTTTTAAAAGTGCACAGTTGGTTTGATAAATGTAAACTTTCCTACCGGCTTTCTTATGTTTCTTTAACTGTTTACAAACTTATGGGCTATATGCACGTATTTTTTACGGAAAGGGGGGGGGGGGGGGAAGAGGAGTTATACAACAATAAGCTGCATTGTCTTTTCACACATGGCAAACCTAGCCCAGGATTTGTTGGCTATTTGTTTTTTTGCTAGGCAGTTTTAGGTTCAGTGGTTGTCTGTTCCTTTTTATCGCTGATAATTTGTCGACACTAATTTACGATCACCTGGCACCAAATCTCCTTCATCTGACATGGCACCTTTACGTGTCGGAATTATGAAACGGTTGCTATGAAGAGTCCGCCAAAATGTATACAGTTTTTAGCAGAGAACAGAGTCATTTCAAGATTGATTTTCTTGAAGTTGGTTCGTACTCGGATACTAGGTTTAGCAGCTGCTCTCGTAGAGTATGTCAGTACCCACATGAATAGGAGAGCTGACACGTAAAAAACTTTCTACTATTTCTCAATTATTTTATTTTAGTTAGGATTCTTGCCTTCAATACCATCTTTCTGTCCAGTATTCCCTAGTGTGGCAGACCTTCAACTGGCCAGAAAGACATTGAATTTCTCCTGGAGATGCCTCAGCTGAGTGACTTTGTATATTATTGTTCCTACTTGTGACATTGTCTATTTATGCAATGTGCTGATTAAGGATTTCTCGAACACAACTTTTACTTGTAGTTTGTGACTACGATAATGTGAAGCTGACTAGTTAGTTCTTCCTTTCATTTGGTTTGATATCGTGTCATTAGAAACCAGCCGAACTGATAGCCCGTGGAAGATTAAAACAACAGGCGTAGCTATTTCCATAGGCATTTTGGCTAGTTGATCAACCAGTTAATGTTAGCTGCGTATCTTTTACAGGACCTTGCAGAACCAACCCCAGCACTTTTCTGCTGTTGTGGTTTTTCTAGGCAAGTTTACGTCCAGTAGTTTGCCATTGCTTTATCGACGGTCGGTTTTTCGATGCCATTGTCGAAACCGACGAAGGACGCAAGGACCGCGGTTTGGATCGAACTCAGCATCCCATCATCACGAAGCGAGTTCGCAACGCCTAAGCCACAGATGATCAGCCAGTACTTCACCGTAATAAAAAGTGTCTTTGCGTTAATGGTAACCACTTAAAGTATTTCGTTGAATTTAACAGTCAGGGATAATGTCTAAATCTCCCCTGCTATTTTTACGTACTTACCCACCTCACTCATTTTAATGCAGGTTGCTCTTTTCCTAAAATATGTACAAAAGGTTTTTCAGGTTCAGGTTTATGTAGATCACCTGTTAGCAGTAGTTAGTTCTATTTGTCGATAATATTTTCAAGACTTGGATCCATTACCCATTCCAGATAGGGTCCATATCAATCACAGGGAACTAGCATTTCCATTTCAAGCGCATCGATTGCAACTAAACATAGAATGTTTGCAGCTAAAGTAGCACACCTATCGCTGACATGTTGATGAAGGCACCACATGTCACAACCTTGCTGAATGTGCTCTTAAATGTCGCAGTTGCAGAATATTGAATTGACATACAATTTGATTTAGTAAATATTTATATCTCATTGGTTTGAATATTTTATTTGTACAACTCTTGGAAATGTCATAATATTATTATTAGTAATATAATAATTATTATTTTTATTATTATTATTTACAAACGGCACTAACATAAGATTAAATCAGAGAACAAACAGGATTCCTGAACAGACATTTATAGGAAAGCGTTTTCATATATGGGTGTGCACTGATAATTGTGCCCGTCAACTCTGGTTGTAAGCGTTTTCATATATGGGTGTGCACTGATAATTGTGCCCGTCAACTCTGGTTGTAAGCGTTTTCATATATGGGTGTGCACTGATAATTGTGCCCGTCAACTCTGGTTGTAAGCGTTTTCATATATGGGTGTGCACTGATAATTGTGCCCGTCAACTCTGGTTGTAAGCGTTTTCATATATGGGTGTGCACTGATAATTGTGCCCGTCAACTCTGGTTGTAAGCGTTTTCATATATGGGTGTGCACTGATAATTGTGCCCGTCAACTCTGGTTGTAATTAGTTAATCAATCCGCCAGTAAATAATTATACACAGTGTAATGTGAGGACTGGACCAGCTGTCTCATAAAGACAGTATCTAAACAGCTAGTAAAAACCGCCGACTGTACGCATATTAGTCACTGGCGAAATAACCATACAATGTTGATTAACACAAATAATATCAACAAAATAGTTTAAACAGCCTCACTAATTAGTCTTCCATCCATACCCCAGTTACTGGCAACATATTTTAAATTATTGGAATTCATAACGAAGCATGACATTCTCCCTGTTGTTTTAGTCTGCATATCTTTCACTGTGATATACATCTCTGCAATCATCTCTAGTGTTTTTTTTTTTTTTTAAGCGCTAGTCAGTCCTTTTAATGTTAAAACGGTTTATTGTCTGTAAAAACTCGCAATATTCCTTAATTATGCCCATTCCTGATTTAATAGTAAGCATCTCTCCTCCCTACTATTTATTGATCGTTATATTATTGTTAATACCCAAACACACCTACATATCAATTTAAAAACAAACGCACGCCAGAGCTCAAACACACACACACACACGTGTATTTAAAAAAGAAACCAGCCAGATATTGTCATTGACAATTGACACACGAACACCAGTTTTGCTATCAGATGTACAACGTGGACAGCTCACCTACACATTCCACAGAGAGAGAGAGAGAGAGAGAGAGAGAGAGAGAGAGAGAGAGAGAGAGAGAGAGAGAGAGAGAGAGAGGGAGGGAGAGAGAGAGAGAGAGGGTGAGAGAGAAACATGGCCTGAACTCATCTACTAGGCATATGGCAGCTGAGTACAAGAGTGCTCACAAAAACGGGTGGAAATAATTCTTAACCAGTTCTATTGCGCCTCGATTACAATCTGACCTTCTCGTGTCTTCCTTCGACAAGCAACACTGTGTTTTTCAAGTAACTTAATAATGCTCATAACCAACAATTCTGACAGCTTGGCATTTCTTCTGGATGGCGTTGCAATTTTCTTTGACTGACAAATCACCCAGCTAAAAAATTAGATTAGCCCGCATTAGCCCGCCGCTCCCATTGTATGACAGTTCGTAGCAAGCGGCCATAAATACTCATTGATGTGAGTCTGCCAGATCTTGCGTGTTGAGTGCAAGTATACTTAAAGAAACATAACAATCATTACGCTGGAGCAGAGAGAATGGTACTGCACGACACATATAGTTAAATAAACGCAGTTAAGTCGAGTTCAAAGGAGTGTTTGACCGAACACTTCAAAACGTTGGGCTTTCTTTTTGGGAGACCTGGATTCGAATCTTCAGTAACGATGTCAGGTTTTTTTTATGTCGGAGGCAAAAAAGAAAACCTCACCGGCACTGTCCGTGGCGACTACACTGTCCGTGGCGACTGCACTATCCATGCGGTCCTAAATTCTTAGGCTCAAAGACCTCCCTGCCTACACCACTAGAGGTGTAATAAAGGGCAGTAATGGCAGTTTGGGTAATGACACATCTGAGACACAGTTGCCCAGTGTCTGATTGTATGAGTGCACTCTAACCGCAGACGAGGAGACAGCGGTATCTTCAGACAACCAGTATTCAATGACTTATGTAACGTGGTTCACGCACATGCAAGTAGAAGACTGTAGTTGACGGAATATCATCAGTATGTTCTAACTGATCGGTAATTACCACGTGCAGGACCAGAATTTAAACAGTATGCAATTAGCCTCTGGTCTATATCCGCTATTGCTAATCGAAAGATAGCCTATAAATTAGGGATAGTTTGGCAATTAACAAGCTCTCCGAGCCTGTTAAAAAAATACCTTTGCTACAGACACTCGTAGGAAAAGGAGCAATTCTGGACAACCAGCAAGTCAAGTGGTGTGCGATGCACAAAGTGCAGGTTTGACGGTTGCTGTTAACCGCATTGCAAAAGATGGTAGCCAGACATACCCATTACTTGGTTTAGCACTAGATGTATCAAAACGACGACCCTTTATTGCTATTGGGAGTTTGGGATGACATCGTGTCTATTGTCACTTGCAGCATACATGAAGTAAAATTACAAAATATACGACCCAAGAGTGATAACTGGAGATGTCAGAGCTAAAGTCAGAAGTTAAAATACAGATGTTGAGAGAGCCTTATGGGGAAAAGAAGGAGCTGACACAGTGAATAGAAATGGAGAAAGGCTTGCTGAATTCTGTATGCAGTAAAATCTACTAATTAAAGGAACTATCTTTCACGTAAGAAAATTTACAAATTACCTTTTCATTCATCAGATGGAGTGACTTAGAATCAGACAGAAAACCTAGGCATAAACAAATATACAGGAAATTGTTTGATAGAAGCCGAGCTTAACAAGTGCAGATGATAGCAACGGTCATATTTTAAACGTGGAAAACTGAAACTGGAATTCAACGCAGCTACAAAACGATCATGCGCAACAAAGTAATAGATAGTCAAAGATTTCTCAATAAAAAGATAGGAGTTTAGTTCCAATTAGGTACAGGGAAATGCAGATTTGAGGCACAGACGAGGAGAAAGATCACAGCCTTGAGGACAAATGGAATGACATAAAGACTACACTTTTAGAAGCAGCAGTGAGTAGTAAACGACTAAAGAAAAGTGACTGACAACCTAGGATATGT